ATGAAATTCATGCACGAGTGAAATCCCTAGGCCTGCCTGGCGATTAGGCCCAATCATGGCCTGCCAGCCAGTGGTCAAGATTGGGAGTGGGGGAGGGACTGTGGGAGGTTGGCCACCAGCCCCAGGAGGGAGCCAGCCCTCAGCCCCCCTGGGAAAGGACCCACGTCTGCTGCCTCCCACCCCTGGTTCCCCTTCTCAGCCCAGGGCCCAAAGGCCCTGGCAGGGTCGGATAGGAGGCAACAGTCACTGGTGTAGGTGGGGACGGAACAGACGCTGGATGCTGATGCTACCATAGTGGTTTCCCATCTTCCCCTTCCTCCTTCCTTCACTGCCATGCCATCCCCACAATGGGTGAGTGCTGAGTGGGCCCCACAAGCCAGGGTGAGGGATGGGGTGTGGGAGGGTTGGCTGCCAGCCCTGAAAAGGGAGCCAGCCTTGGACCCCCTGGTAAAGGGGGTGCGTCTGTTACCACACATCTCTGGTTCCCTGTCCCAGCCTGGGGCCCAAAGGCCCTGGTTAGATCAGGAGAGGAGGCAACAGTCACCTGGGCAGGCGCAGAAGGAATGGACACCAGATGCTGACACCCACCATCAGCGCCCTGCCATCGTGTGGTTCCCTGCCTCCCTCCCCCCCGCATTTCCCTTGGTGCTACGCCACCACTGGGGCCTGCCAGCTGGGGGGAGGAACAGGGCCTGCTGGGCGGGAGGAGGGATCGCATGAGGTTTGCTGGCCTGGTAGAGGGACTGCAGGAAGTTGGCTAGCTGGGAGAGGTTGGCTGTGAGAGAGCACTGACCACCAGGGAGTAGACCCCTGGTGGTCAGTGAGCATCATAGCAACCAGTCTTTTTGGTCATAAAGGTTGTTTAGGCTTTTATATATCTATATATAGATTTCCTTTCTTTAATTTGTTTTGGGTTTTGATTATTATTCTTTTTCTAGTTTCTTCAGATTTAAAGTTAGGTTGTTTATGTGCAATTTTTGTTGCTTCTTGAGAACTACCCTCTTATGTATCCCATACATTTTGTAAAGCTGTTTTCATTTGTTTCATGGTAGTTTTCCTCCACCCCCCTTTTTGATCTATTGGTTGTTTTGAAGCATGTTGTTAAATGTCCACATATTTTTGTGGGTTTTTCCCTGTTTTCTTACTGTGGTTGATTTCTTGTTTCATACTATTGTTGTCAGAAAATAATGACTGATTACGAATTCCATCTTCTATGTAGTTTTGGAGTGGAATGTTCTGGTCCAATGTAGCATTCAAGGCAATTATTTTCTTATTAATTTCCTGTCTGAGATCAATTCTTTGAGGTAAGTGCAGTCTTAAAATCCCCAGCTGTTATTGTTATTGTTATTGTTGCTGTTAACTTCTGGCTTTATGTCATTAGTATGTGCTTAATACTAGTATACTTAGGTGTTCCTATGTTGGGATGGTAGATATTTATATTTGTGATATGCTCTCCTTAGATTGAGCCTTTTTTGATGTAGTGCCCCTGTCTGTCTCCTTTTGCTTTGTTTTAGTCTATTTGTCTCATAAGAAATTTTTATTCTGTTGGTAATGTTTTTGACATACAAAATTTTTAGCTTTCATGAAGTCTAACTTATCTATTTTATCTTCTGTTGCCAGTACCTTTGGTGTCAGGATCAATAAGTAACTGCCAAATCCAAAACTTTTCTCTGAAAGTTTTATGGTTTTATAGTTTTAGGTCTTACGCCTATGTCTTTGAGCCATTTTGAGTTATTTTTGTTTGACCATGGTGTTAGGTAAGAGTCCAACTTCATATTTTTACATGTCGATATACAGCTGTTCTTTTTCCCACTAAAGGGTCTGGAGACTCTTGTTGGGGATAATTTAACTATATATGTGAGGGTTTTTTTCTGGGTTCTGTCTTGGTTTATATGCATATGGTCATGTCAGTACAATACTGTTTACATACTGCAGCTTTATCATTTATTTTGAAATCAGGAAGCTTGAATTTTTTATTTCTGTTTTTTGTTCTTGTTGTTTGTTTTCTTTTTTTTCAAGCTTGTTTTGCCTATTTTGGGTCTCCTGGAATGCCATATGAATTTTTGGATGAGTTTTCTATTTCCATAAAAATCAAAATTTCTAAAAAGTCATTAACTCCAACTCTTGAAAAAAATTTTAAAAATCAAAGTTATGGCTTTCATATAAATATACAGAGAACACATATTAAAGACTAGAGGGCCAGTGCACAAATTCATGCACAGGTGGGATCCCTCCACCTGGCTGGGGATCAGGACCGATAAGGGCCATCTCGCCCAGTCCTGATCGGCTAGACCCCAGCAACAAGATAACCTACCAGTCAGAGCATCTGCCCCCTGGTGTTCAGTGCACGTCATAGCAACCAGGTGGTCAACCAGTCAGTCAGATACTTAGCATATTAGGTTTTTATATATGTAGACTAGAGGCCCTGTGCACAAAATTTGTGCATTTGGAGGGGTGTCCCCTCAGCCCGGCCTGCACCCTCTTCAATCCGGGACCCTTCTGGGGATGTCTGACTGCCAATTTAGGCCCAATCCCTGCAGGCCTCTCACAATCTGGGACCACTGGCTCCTAACCGCTCGCCTGCATGCCTGCCTGCCTGCCTGATCACCCCTAACTGCCTCTGCTTGCCAGCCTGATTGCCCCCTAACTTGTCTGGTTGACCCCTAACTGGTCCCCTGTTGTCCTGGCCACCCCCAAACTGCCCCCGTGCCAGCCAGGCCACCCCTGAACTGCCCCCCCTGCTGGCCTGGCTGTCCCCTAACTGCTCCCCTGCCAGCCTGATTGCCCCTAACTGCCTCAGCCTTGGCCTCCCACCACCATTGCTTTGTCCAGAAGAAAGTTGGACGTCCAGAAGATGTCCAGTCGACCTCGTCTAATTAGCATATTAACCTTTCATTAGCATAAATTGTAACTCACAGCACAGAATGCTCAGCACACACTTGCCCTCCAGTCCCTGGTCTTGGAGACCTCATGTCCTTCCAAGGCTCTGCTGACCTTTTTCAGCTGCCACGGGAAGTAAATTGCATCGTGTGCATGGAAACACTTTTCAAGCTTCAGGGGTGTGTCTTTACTTCACTGCAGTTCTGATTACCCTAACATAAGGAGAGACATCCTCATTATCAGATAACGCCATCATGATAAGACCCCTGCTAGCCTACTGCAGTGGTTTTGAAATAGGCCATCTGTCATCCTAGATGGTTTGGCTCAGTGGATAGAGTCACAGCCTGTAGACTGAAGGGTCCTGGGTTCAATTCCTGTCAAGGGCACATTCCTGGGTTGCGGGCTCAATCCCCAGTAGGGGCATGTGAGAGGCAGCAGATCAATTCTCTCTCATCATTGATGTTTCTATCTCTCTCTCCCTCTGCCTTCCTCTCTGAAATCAATAAAAAATATATTAACAAAAATAAAAATAAATAATCTATGAATCAAATGTTGCAGCTCTCCATCCATTCAGTTCCCTCACACCCTCTTTTGTCTTTGAAACCCCTCCACAACCACACACACTATGCTGGAGTCTGTAAAATGGGGTCAGGATTTCTACTTCAACTAAGGGTAATGCTTCTGCATGGCCCTCCTTCTCTAGTCCTGTGTGGTTTCTCCATCCCTCTCCTGGATCTAACTTGGTGGACCCTTCTCTGCCTCCTTCTCCTGTGACCTCCTGTCTGAAGCCTCCCCCTTTTTCTTCTGGGGAGGGAGCCATGCAAAGGGAGGGTGGGGGACAGTGTGGGCTGGGCTGTGCAAGCTCTGCAGCGGTGAGGAGCTATTCAGGGTGAGCCCAGTCAGGGCCTTGGAGGAGAGCTGGGGTGAAGGGTCACAGGGAGGAGGAGGGAGGAACTTGGAGCCTCTCCTGTGGGAGAGGCACTGGGCTCCTCCACTGCCCCCACCTAGCAGCTTTTCTAGGCTTCTGCACAGCTGTCGCCCTCCAACCCTTGTTGCCTCCAGCTTCCTTTGAAGTTCTGGACTCAGTTTCTCAGACTCAGCACTGCACACCTCTCTACTGCATTCCAGGAGCCCAAGGCCACCACTTGGCCTCTGGCAGGCACGCCTGACCCGCCCCCTGCCCCCTTTCTCGTAATGGTGCTACCCACTTTCTTGGAGTAGTTAATGAAACTTAACAAATAAAAAGAAGCAGCTCTGAAGATTATAAAATGCACACTGAGAATGTCACAGGCTTCCGAGGGCTGTGAAGTCCACAGACCACATGTAGCAGCCTCCTGCACCACCCGGTCCTTCCTGGCTCCCACCCCCACCTGCCTCCGCTCAGGGCTGGGGCTAAACCCTGGGAGCTTCCTGAGGGCTCTCACCTCACACCTCACTTTCCAATCCAGCCCACCAGTGCCCACAGCAAGCTAACCTACTGGTCAGAGCTTCTGCCCCTAGTGGTCCGTGCACACCATAGTGACTGGTCAAGCAGTGGAACTCCCAGCAGAACTGCTGTGAGGGGACAATTTGCATATTAGGTTTTTATTATATAGAATTGTAATTAACCAGGGTATCAGTGAGCTATAATAATTAGTTCAAAGAAAAAGTTAAAAAAGCATCATTTTAATATGGAGTATAGAAATCTTGAGATACTTATGTAAATGGTATTTCTAGGGCTGATATAACAAATTATTACAAACTAAGTTGAGAATAACTTTATTCTCTCACAGTTCTGGAAACTAAAAGTCTAAAATCAAGTTGTTACTAGGGCTGTTTCTCTCTATGGGTTTCTTCTGAGGGAGAATCCGTCTCATGCCTCTCTCCTAGCTTTTGGTTTTTACTAGGAATCATTTGAATTTGTTGGCTTATAGCTAGTATAAGTGGGGGATGGGGGAGTTCACCAAACATCCACTGACCAGAATTCATTTAAATGCCTGTAAACAAGAATTTTTTTTTTCATTGCTGTAAGTTATCTACAATTGATAAAGTTATAAAATAGCCCTAACCGGTTTGGCTCAGTGGATAGAGCATTGGCCTGTGGACTCAAGGGTCCCAGGTTCGATTCCGGTCAAGGGCATGTACCTTGGTTGTGGGCACATCCCCAGTGGGGAGTGTGCAGGAGGCAGCTGATCGATGTTTCTCTCTCATCGATATTTCTAACTCTCTATCCCTCTCACTTCCTCTCTGTAAAAAATCAATAAAATATATTTTTTTAAAAATATATCAAGACAATGAAAGGACAGAACCTGGAACAGTGTGCTGCAAACATTAATTTTTCCACTAAAGACCTCAGAATCTTCTTGTTTATTCCCAATGTCTTTATAGCATGTAGAAAGCTCTGATGTTACATCAGAAACTTAACTGGGGGCAACCGAAAAGAGTTTCAAAGTATTAGGTTGCTTCTATTCCTATATAGATTTGCAAAAGAGCTTTAAATTTTTACTTTTAATCAGAAAAGGACTGTTTTTTTTCTAGGATAAGACAAACTAAACATTGATCATAGTAAAGTGAAAAGGTTAGGCTGTGTTTACATCATGCTTTATCCTATTCTACTAATATATTTTGGCCTTTAGATACCTGTGTGAAGTCTGCAGGATGATGCCATTGTTCTCCTAGTACTCCTCATATATAATCAGGAAGCCAGTCTAGTATTTCTCATTGAACTGGGGTTAGAATTCAGGTGAAATTTGCCTCTGCCTGCCCCCATATGCCTTAAAGGTCAATGTTATTTAGTAAATACTGAATCATTTTCTGAGATCTCTCTACTTGAAATTCCCACCATACTCTGGCTGAGGCATCTTCCAAAGCCCACATTTTAGGCAGCTCCTTCCACAGTCTGGAAATCACAGGGACTGTGCCTTTCCATCCTTTCTGTTCACATGGTCAATTCCCAGAAAGACAAAGTTAAAGCATTCATGGTGGAAGAATTTTATAGGCCTGTGAGGAAGTCAATTCCTAGAGGGACAGCAGGATTAGTCCTGGTGTAAGTTCAGGAATTATTGATTAGATACAGTTTCCATGGGGAATAGGAATAGAGCCTTCTTTGACCCTGAGTGAAGTGCAGTGCAGTGCCCACCCATATAATGCAGTCCTGAGATATCAAAATTCCACAGAGAGTGCAGTTTTGTGTGCTTAGCACATAAGATTATTGCAATTTTGTGGAGAAGGAAGTCTCATAAAGAAACACTGAATCACTGGCAAAGACTGTCTGACTATAACAGTGTTGACAAGATGTTGAAGATGCCATTCTCCCATGCAGGGAATTACTGCCATAGATACTCCATCCTCCTCTGGGCTCCACTGCCCAGCCCTGGAGACTGATAGAACACTGAGTACCCAGCATACAAGTACCCTCCAAATGAGGTCATCTCTTCAATGAGGGTGTGGGAGTGGAGCTGTGATCTAATTGTATGCAACACTGCACCTGGGCAGGAGGACACTGTAGCCTTTTTCTTCCTATTGTTCCAGGACACAGAACATCCTGTATGTCAACATGGGGCAAAGCTATAAGGGGGAGCAGAACAGAGTAAGCTCAGAACCAACTGTCACTTACTAGATTGAAGAGCTGAAGGTTTTCTTAAGGACTCCCTCCTTCCCAGCAAAGGAGGGTAGCAAACAAGAGTTGTGGTCTGTCTGGCCACAGTGGAGGCCAGAAAGGTGTAGGTGATATGGCATGACCACACTGCCTTGGCTGCAGGCAATGAGAAGTATTCCAGTAAACTGGTAGTAATGAACTGCCAGGCTGGGTTGAAAGTAAGGATAAGGGAAAGGGATTTCCAATAAAGTGTTTCCTTGACTTCTCTCACCATGCAAGACACTCCAGAACTTTCCTTTAGAAATTAGGGACTATATATTCAGTCCTCCACTTTCTTAATGTAGTTGCAAACTTTTACATTGGAAACTTGGTCCTGAGTTGTTGTTGTTTTTTTTTTTATTCCAAGATCACCCCAAACTCGTTAACACTAAGGAACCAACTGGAGGCATCCAGATGTGCAAAGAAAAGAAAACTTTTGTAAGACATGCTCTTTTACATAGAAAATATAAACGATCAGGAACAAACACACATAATAAATGAATTATTTGCAAAACTGCCATAAGAAACATTAACACACAAAATTTACTTGTATTTTTATATATTAGAAATGAATAATTCAAAAATTAAATTATGGAAACATTCTATTCACTATAGTATCAAAAAGAATAAAACACATACTAATAAATTTAACCAAAAAAGTGCAGTACTTGTACAAAAAACTGAAAAATATTGTTGAATTTTTAAAAGACCTGAACAAAAAAATGGAAAGACTTCTATGTTTTGCTTTGCTTTCTCCAAAATGCACAAGGTGATCCTAAAATTCATGTGGGAATTACACAGAGCCCAGAAAACCAAATCAATTTTGGAAACAATTTCTCAAGATTACATGACAATACTTCTGACAGACAATGTAGATAAATGAAATAAAATTTAGACCTCAGAAATAAACATTTACAATTTGGTCAGTTGATTTTCTACAAGTTGTGTCAAAACCACTGAATGGGGGAGAATGGTGCTAAGATAATTGGTCATCAAGTAAAATAATAAAGTTAAATTCTGCCATATAGCATACACAAAAAATAATTCAAATAGTTTAAGGTTATAAAGGAAAAAAAAAACCCTAAAACTACAAAATGTTTGGGACAAAACATACCATAAATTATCACATCCATGGGCAATGGTTTCTAACATGCAACATCAAAAGTCCAAGTGCAAAATAATATAAATTGAATTTCATCAATATCAAAAAAGTTAACTCACAGAATGGGAGAAAGTATTTGCAAACCATATCTGATATGGATCTTGTATCCAGAATTTATAAAGAACATCTATATCTCAACAATAAAAGCTCAAATTTAAAAAGGGCAGGTGTGAAATTGGAATCCTTATATGTTGCTGGTGGGAATATATAATTGTGCAGTGCTGTGGAAAACACCTGTTGGTTCCTCAGTTAAAGAGAATTATCATATGATCTGACAATTTTATTGTTAGGTATATACTCAAATATTTGTGCACAAATGTTCATGGCAGCACTATTCACAAACACAAAATAGAAAAACAATCCAAATGTTCATCTCCAGAGGAATAAATAGAGAATGTGGTAAATCCAATAAATGCAGTTCTATGGAGCCATAAAAAGAAATAAGAATTGATTGCTGGTACAATCTTGAAATCATTGTAATAAGTGAAAGAAACCACACACAAAGGACCACATATGTCATGTAAATTTATAGAGAGGAGACAGATTGATAATTGCCAATCAATGAGGTGAAGGGAGAATGTGGAGTAATTTGGGGGAGGGGAGTCGGGGAGGATATAAATATTCTGGAATTATATAGTAACTAGAAGCCTGGTAAATGAAATTTGTACACAGGGGAGGAGGGGTATCTCTCACCCAGCCTGCACCCTCTCTAATCTGGGGCCCCTCAGGGGATGTCCAACTGCCCATTAAGGCCCGAACCTGGTGGGATCGAGCCTAAACAGGCAGTCAGGCATCCCTCTCACAGTCCAGGACTGCTGGCTCCCAACTGCTCACCTGCCTACCTGCCTACCTGCCTAATTGCACCTAACTGCTTTAGCCTGCCAGCCTAACCACCCCTAACCACTCCCCTGCCAGCCTAATAGACACCTAACTACTCCCCTGCCAGCCCTATTGCCCCTAACTGCCCTCCCCTACTGGCCTGGTTGCTCCTAACTATCCTCACCTGCAAGCTGGTCACCCCCAACTGCTCAAGCCTGCTCAACCCGGTCACCCTTAACTGCCCTTCCTTGCCAGCCTGGTTGCCCCTAAGTGACCTCCCTTGCCCGCCTGGTTGCCCCGAACTGCCTTCCCCTGCAGGCCTGGTTGCCCCGAACTGTCCTCCCGTTCAGGCCGGGTCCCTCCCAACTGCCCTTTCCTGCAGGCCTGGTTGCCCCTAACTGCGCTACCCTGCTGGTCCAGTGACATCTAACTGCGCTACCCTGCTGGTCTGGTGACACCTAACTGCGCTACCCTGCAGGCCTGGTTGCCCTAACGGCCCTCCCCTGCCAGCCTGATTTCCCCTGCAGGCCCAGTTGTCTCTGTCTTCCCCTGCAGGCCTGGTTGCCCCCAACTGCCCTCCCCTGAAGGCCTGATCACCCTCAACTGCCCTCCCCTGCTGGCCTGGTCCCTCCCAACTGCCCTCCCCTGCTGGCCTGATCATCCCTAACTGCCCTTCCCTGCAGGCCTGGTCCCCCGCAACTGCCCTCTCCTGCAGTCCTGGTTCCCCCCAACTGCCCTCTCCTGCTCCTCTGATCACCCACAACTGCCCTCCCCTGCTGGCCATCTTGTGGTGGCCATTTTATGTCCACATGGGGGCGGCCTTCTTGTGTGTTGGTGTGATGGTCAATTTGCATATTACTCATTTATTAGATAGCTGATGATGGCTTCTTAAAACCATGGTTACAATTAAAGTGGTGATATTTTCCCTTTTGTTCTTTTTAAATTAAAATTCTGGGTTAACACTGGTAAATAAAATTGTATAGGTTTCAGGGGTATAATTCTATAACACATCCTGTGTATATTGCATTCTGTGTTTCCCACCCAAAATGATATCTTCAGTCACTTGATATTTGACCCCTTTTACCATTTACTACCCTTTACTCCTTTCTCTGGTAACTACATACTGCTGTGTCTGTGATTTTTTAGCTAGTTTGGCTCAGTGGATAGAATGTTGGCCCAGGGACTGAAGGGTCCTGGGTTTTATTCCAGTTAAGGAGTCAATCCCTAGCCCCAGTCTGGGTGTGCAGGAGCAACCAGTGAATATGTCTCTCTCACATCAATGTTTCTCTCCCTCTGTCTCTCCCCATCCCTTTCACTCTCTCTAAAAATCAATGGAATAATATCCTTGTGTGAGGATTAAAAAAAATAATAATATTAAAAAGAAACATTCTTCAGAACGCTAATACCAACAACAAAAACAAAGAAAAAAAATAAACCTGGAAACTGTTAGACAGACATGAGGAGAGCCAGAAAGATGGGCCAGGTACAGAAACTTACAAGGCAGAAAGCCCCAGATTCCTAATAAGTGGTAAAACTTGGAAAATAAGAACCTTGCCCTCAGAGTAACCTATCCTCCCTATCATATCACTGGTCAGGAGGTTTAGTCCCTCTGAACTCTTCCTTCTTAAAGATAACCTTTAGGCCTCAGTTGTATTTCAGCTCCAGGCCCAGAAAACCAGACAAATGACACCATGGCTGCCTCAGGACCAGCTACTGTGAATAATAACCCCTTTCCCTGGTGTCAACCAGTCAGTGGAGAACCAGGACTCTCAAAGAGCACATCTAAGAAGCTAATAAATATTCTATTAAGACCTCCCCTAGGACCTCCCCTAAGATTTACACCTGCAAGAAAGAGGTAAACTAAGAAAGGATCCAATCCACACTCTCCCTCCAAAGAGTGCAATAGTGCCATTCCCTTCTCTCTCTCCTTCCCCTACCTCAGTGATGGTGAACTTTTTGAGCTCGGCGTGTCAGCATTTTGAAAAACCCTAACTTAACTCTGGTGCCATGTCACATATAAAAATTTTTTGATATTTGCAACCACAGTAAAACAAAGATTTATATTTTTGATATTTATTTTATATATTTAAATGCCATTTAATAAAAAAAAAAATCAACCAAAAAAATGAGTTCGCATGTCAGAGGTGACATAGGTGTCATAGATTCGCCATCACTGCCCTACCTTAGATATCTCCTAACCTCTAAGAGGTCCCAGGGACTTGAAACTATAACCAGACAATCAATGGGTCTATGCTGCCTGTCACTACTTGAGCCAATTAAGCAGAGACAGGTTTGAAACATAAGCTTTTATTCCAATCCTGCCAACAGCATAGGAGAGCAGCAGGTGATCCACAGAAATCTTCTCTACATGCCACCATAAGCTGACTGCTTATATTGGTAGATGTACAAAGGATTACTTAGGGAAACAGGCAAAAAGGTATGCCAAATGAGCAGTTTACAGGTAAGCAGAGGGCTGGGGATCTTTAAAGGGTTTAGTGATATGCAAAGAGGGCAAGGGTCTTCAAAGGTCTGGCTGCTCTGGTTTCTGCAGCAAAGTTGTTAATCTTTTCCATGATAATAGGCAGCTCCAAATGGGGAGGATGGTCTGCACTTCCAGGTGAGCTCTCAGGTTCTCAATGCAGCTGCCAGCCAAGTTAGAATGTGCCTTCTTTAATCAGAATAAAACAATCATGGATAATAGAGCATGATTAATATTTCTTACAATTCTAGCTGGTTCCCCAACATTCTATTTCTGCCCCTATCACTATCAAAACCAGGGGAGCAATGGGCAGTCGCAGCTCCTCTGAGGCTAACCCCTTGAACCTGTGTCCAAGGCCTCCCTTTCTCTGACTTGTCAGTGAAGTAAGGCAGCCCAACTGAGACTTCCCTGTTGCTTCTTCTATGCCCTTCCTTGTTTCACTGGCCTAAGTACATTTTTGCTGCCATTATGGACCTCAACCCCTTGACTCAGTGCTGTGAAGCCCTTCCCTTAAGAATATGCCATCCATAAAAAAAAATCAGTTTTTCTTTACTCATCGTCTGAGATGGCTATTTAGCCTGTCCTAGCACCACGGACTTTAACTTTTCAGAAAGCAAATTTGTTATTAACCTAAGAAAGGAAACATGGTGGAGACAATAGAATCGTTTCAACTAGTAGGAAGCCTGAAGTAATTGTGGATCACTGTGTTTGAATGATGGGTGGGTTAGCCAAAAATCTCAGTGATCTCTGTCTTATGCTGTAATTCTGGAGGGGTAAACGATATTGAGGATTCTGGGGTAGGGGCAGAGCTCTAGACAGGTATCCAGCAGGAAAACTGAAGTTCTAAAAGCCAGTATTCTGCTTTTTGCGAAGTAAGACCCCTTTGCCCCAAATGATTCGGGCTGAGAACGGCATGTAACCGAACAGGAACACAAACACAACATTATGATTTTTCTCACCTGACCCTGATCTCTCGTTCTCCCAAATATTGGAATATTTCCAAAATTCTTCTAGTTACTTTTAATCACTGGGGTACATAATCCCCTTGAAAACTACAAGTCCCAGCAGGCTGCACGCGTAGCAGGGCGGGTTTTCTTTTTAGAATTTACAATTGCGCTCTATCCCGATCTAGACTCAGAGCTAGGGTCGCGCGGGTTGCTGGGACTTGCAGTGCCTTCCATATTGTTTATCTCGGTCTGCGCAGACTCGCTTGCCCTCTGTTTGCCCTTTGGCCTATAAATCCAGCCCACTGTCATTTGCTCCCCACTCCGATCTCACTCTAAGGCATAAGGGGCCAAACCTCCGGTCACGTGGGTAGCCTGCGGCGCAGTCATTGGTCTCTGAATTTCGGAAGTTTAGGAGCTCCACTGGCTGCTAGGCTGCTAGCCCATTTTTAGGGCTTGGTGTACTTCCGTAACGTTTGCGCGAGGCAGGTAAAAGGGCGCGCATGGGGAATAGGCGGCAGCTCTGAGGAGACCTTTGAAACCGGAAAGAATCGGACTAAAACCAAGCCAGTAGCCGGTAAGTTCGGGAAATGTCCTGGTTGCCCCTGGGCGCCAGGGTATATAGAGTGAACTGAGTTGCTTGTCACACTATCCCTAGCCACCAGACGAACTTTCGGCTTTTTTTCCTGCAACGGTGACGACATCGGCAACAGGTGTGTGTGGCGTTATATCGGAATAAACGGAGTGGAGGGAAATTCTTGGATTTTAGGACTCTCAGCTGAGTAATGGAGATGAGAATATAGCCCACACTGAGGGATAAAGGGAATGTGGCGGGGGAGTGCATTTGTGACACCACGTGCGACAAGCGACACAGGGTTTCCCCACGGTCCTAGGACTCCGTTGTCCATTCTCCCACGCCACACTGTCCAGGTGCCTTCGGTTGTAGGCGCCGCAGTGAGGACTTGCCCTTGGGTTTTGGCAGGTGGCTGGACGCTCAGAGAGGTGAGCTCCTGCAGACAAGGCCAGGTTGTTGCGCAGTTAAGTAATGGCGGTGTGCCCCCGTTTTTTGGTCTTTTGCTGTCCACCAAATCGCGGACTGGTTGGACACCGAGTAGGAGAAGTTAGGGTCATTTGTTTCCTGAACTTGTGGCTCTTGGCAGAATCTACATGTGGCCAAACGATGCGGAGGTGATTTCGGAGGACCTCGGTCTAGCAAAATCGGTGAGCACCATAGTCTTTGTAATAACTATCTCATTTTGTGTGGATGTGGTGTGGTATGTGGTGTGTGTGGGTCTTTCTTTCTTTGGGGTGTGCTTCAGCCTTTTCCCACCTGGCCTTTCGTCTCTCATTCTGGAAATCTCGCTCGAATATTCCACTTGTCTTTTACTTACTTCTCTTTGAATACAAGAATGTTGAGACCTTCATAATGGTAGACTCCACTTGTTCTGGGGTTAGTGCTTAGAATTCTAAAAATATCTAGCGACTGCGCTATAGGTTTTCACACCTTGGAGTGATAAATTGCAGGGAAAGGACATTTCATTTGAAAATATTGAAACCTTCACTCCTGAAATTGTAAAATAATATTCTAATAGGTCTAATGAACTTCAAAAGATTCAGTATTTACAGGTTTGAAAAAGAAGCTGGGGATGGAACATGTTCTAGGGCAGAGATTTTCAATCTTTTTCACCTCATCAGTACACATTAATTACTAGAATTCTGCAGTACACTAAAAAATATATTTGTTGCCGATCTTCTAATTATATTAGCTATAATTTTTATTCATTCACACTGGACGGCTATTGTTTTGGCTGTTGTCATTTTTAAATTTAACAATCTAAGGAAAAAGAAATCAGTGCCCATCTTGCATGTTTTGAAAATTATTGAGGCACACCAGTTGAAAATCTCTGCTATACCTAATAGTTTAAATTGCCACTTTGGGTAATGATTTTGTAGGTTCTTTCCCAAGGGACAACTCTGATTAAAAAGAAACCAAAACACTGGAATTTGGAACATAAGTTCCTATTTATAATACTTAGGATGAGAATAGAAAATTGTTGAATTAGCAAGAAAGATTTAATCAATAAGCATTTAAACCTTTTCTGGTTAATAGCTGGATAGGAGTAGAACCTACTTGTGTTTCTATTGTCTCATTTTGTGTACTCATTTTCTCATTTCCTTGCTTCATTCTTTTCTGGGAATCTACTTTTAGTTCCTTCCCTCATTTAACCAACTATAGCTTGAGATTGAAATATTTCATTAAATATTACTTTTTCAATTTTCACTTTAAAAAGTTGAGAAAATATCTTCTATCAGTAAAATCAAAATCACTTGTACATAAGTTCTTTTTTTTTTTTTAATGTTGTTGCTTTTTTTTTTTAAATATATTTTATTGATTTTTTACAGAGAGGAAGGGAGAGAGATAGAGAGCTAGAAACATCGATCAGCTGCCTCCTGCACACTCCCTACTGGGGATGTGCCCGCAACCAAGGTACATGCCCTTGACCGGAATCGAACCCGGGACCCCTCAGTCCGCAGGCCGACGCTCTATCCACTGAGCCAAACCGGTTTCGGCCATAAGTTCTTTATGATCATTCATTTTTAAAATTTCTTCTGGGTCATTGACTTGAAACAATATTTTTTAACCTCTGCTCTTTTTTTAGGAATCAGAAATAATGTATAATTGTAGTTATTTTTTAAAATATTGAGGAAATTAAAAGGAAAATAACTCATCACTCTTTAGGAGATGGCTTTTATTGGGTTTTGTTATTTTAGAATAGCTTATTTTTTCCATGATTTCTGTTCATTTTTCCTTCTGCATTTTGCAGTTTTGATGGTAGGTATATATACATTTATAGTCATATATTTTTTCATTGATGATTCTTTGACAGTTTAATGCATTTTGTATCGTAATAATTTTTTGCTTTCAAGACTGTTTTGATTAATTGTAGGATTGCCACTGTACTTTTTTTTTTTTTAAAATACTCATCCAAGGATATGCTATCACTGATTTCAGAGACAGAGAGAAACGTTGATCCATTGCCTCCCATATGCACCCCGCGGGATGCATATACAATGTAGGTATGTGCCCTGATTAGGAAACACACACACACACACACACACACACACACACACACACACAGTGTTTTGCTCAGCATAATACTCTCCAGGTCCAAATCTTAGCTATTGTAAATTGTACAGGATGACTCTAATGAGCCACATGAGCCTGGGCACAAAGATAACTCTTAAAAAGAGTATTCCCACCCCTTTTTACAATGCTTTTCTTTTATTATAAATTTTTATTAGTGAAAGTATTATATATGCCCCACCTTGCCACCCCCTTTGACCTCTTCTGGCCTGACTCCAACCTGTGCCCACCTCAGGCCTTCACCACTCTATCATGGGTTATGCACACATGCATACAAGTTCATTGGTTGATCTCTTCCCATCCACCCTCCCCTGTCTTCCCTCTGAGGTTCTCTTCATGCTTCTATGAATCTGGGTTTATTTTTGTTTATTAGTTTATTTGGTTCATTAGATTGCACATATGAGTGAGATGATATTAATCTTTCTCTGACTTGCTAATTTTGCTCTGTGTAACACTCCAGGTCCCTCCATGCTATTGCAAATGGTAAGGGTTCTTTACTTTTATTGCCGTGTAGTATTCTATTGTAGTATTCTAATTTTTTTATGCATTCATCTACTGATGGGCATTTAGGCTGTTTCCAAATCTTAGCTATTGTAAAATGCGCTACTATGGACATAGAAATGTATATATCCTTTTGGATGTGTGTTTTGGGTTTCTTAGGATATATTCCTAGAAGTGGGATTACTGGGTCAAATGGGAGTTGCATTTTTAATTTTTTGAGGAAACTCCATACTGTTTTCCACAGAGGATGCACTAGTCTCACCAGCAGTGTACAAGGGTTCCCTTTTCTCCACATCCTCACCATCACTTGTCATTTGTTGATAGTAGTCATTCTGATAGGTGTGAGATGGTACCTTATTGTGGTTTTAATTTGCATCTCTAGGATGAATAGTGACTGAACATTTTTTAATATGTCACTTTTCTGTATGTCTGCTTTGGAGAAGTGTCTATTTAGGTCCTTTGCCCATTTTTTGATTCGATTGTTTATCTTCCTTTTGTTAAGTTGTATGAGTTCCCTGTAAATGTTGGAGATTAAGCCCTTATTGGAGATAACATTGGCAAGTATGTTCTCCCATGCCGTAGACTTTCTTGTTTTGTTGATGGTTTCTTTTGCTGTGCAGAAGCTTTTTATTTTCTCCTTAGTATCCTTTGCCTTACAATGCTTTCTAATGCATCAGGAGAAACCTGTGTCTCCTCTAAAACTGTGATAATGCTTGAGACTTAAGTATTAGTGCCTCTTTTGAGAGGAGCAGTAAGGGTTGCTCTCTCTGCCATGGGTAGCCTGGACTGTGGGAATTCAAATAGGTGCCAGGGAATTCAAATCAGCTGCTGATACATTTACAGGCATTTGATGCTTCCAACAGAGGAAATGGAATTGTGCCCACAGAGTAAGTCCCATTGCAACTAGATCAAGCTCTTGTGTGGACTCCAAGTGCCAATGCTTGCCAGCCCACCTCTTTTTCTCAGCTCAGCTGACCCCAACCAGAACACAATCCAAGGGCTCTTTCCACATAATCTCTATAACCTAGAGTTCTTACAACAAGGCTCTGTTGTTTTTTACATCCACATAGTCAGTGTGGAAACTGCTTTGAAAGAAGACATGCCAATATCCCCCATAAATGAAAGATATTATGCCTTTTTTCAGGTTTCCTTTGGAAAGAGGTTTCACCATTGACAAGAAAATATACTTTGTTGTTTTGGCATTTCCTCTACTCTTGAATATCCTGATTGGGCCCATTCACTTCATGGTGGACAAGGCTTCAGTCCATCGACACAGGTTAGACTTTGTCCCTTTTCTATGAACTGACTGATGGAGGGTGCTGCATTGTTCCCCTGCAACATACACCCAGGCCTTAGCACCCTGCCTGGTATGAAACACCATACCTCAAATCCTTTGGTGTGTGTGGAAAGAAGGAGGGAGGATAGCATTGTCTACAAACTTTCCACATTCACACAAGTGTGAGAGAGAAACATCAATCTGTTGCCTCCTGTACATCCCCAATGGGGAGAGAACCTGCAACCTAGTTATGTGCCTTTGCTGGAAATTAAACTTGCAACTTTTGGTGTATGGGACAATGCTCCAACCAGCTGAGCCACCTGGCCAGGTTTATGTTTCTTTTGCTTACAGTTGTTATGGAATATCCTTTTCTCTCATTTTACTTTCAGTCTATTTATATGTAAAGTAATTCTTTTGTCAATGGCATATAATTGGATTATGGTTTAAAACGTGTTGTTTTTGCCCCCGTGGTTTGGATAGAGCGTAGGTCTATGGACTGAAGGGTCCTGGGTTCAATTCCGGTCAAGGGCACATGTCTGGGTTGTGGGCTCAGTCCCCAGTGCAGAATGTGCAGGAGGCAGCTGATCAATGATTCTCTCTGTTCATTGATGTTTCTATCTCTCTCTCCCTCTATGAAATTAATAAAAATACATTAAAAAATTTGTCATTCTTGGCCTTTGGATTGGAGAGTTTATCCCACTTACATTTAAAGTAATTGCTGTAAGGAAAGGATTTATTTCTGCCATTTCTTTTTTGTTTTCTTCTGTCTTTCATCTTTTTCTCATTTCCTTCATACTGCCTTCTTTTGTAATAGACTATTTTAATTCTGTTCTCATTTTTCTTTTTTATAGTGTGTAGTTATTTTTTAGTGTATTCCTGGGGGTCAATATTACAGTTGACATCTTACAATTAGCATCAAATTAGTTTCATCCTATATAATAAAAGCCTAGGTGGCAACGTTACCACAAGATGGCCACATGCACAGCGGAGGCAGGGCCGGGCGGCTGCTCAGTGCAGTGAGGCCTGGGGGTCCCACGGCTCTGTGCGGTGCGGAGGAGGCTGGTCCCAGCATCTTGGCTGCCTCATGCAGAGGTGGAGGTGGTGGGTCCCGGCAGGGGTGGGCAGTTGTGGGCCATCAGGCCGGCAGGGAAGGGCAGTTGGGGGCGATCGGGCCTGCAGGGGAGGGCATTTGGGGCGATCAGGCCAGCAGGGGAGCAGTTAAGCGTCAATCAGGACGGCAAGGGAGAGGTTAGGGGACGATCACACTGGCAGGCAGAAGCGGTTAGGGGCAATCAGGCA